TATATATACTGTATATTAATAAAAATGTTACAAATGAGAATGAAGACAAAATGCTGCTGAGTTGATGTTTTCTGAACTGCCTTTAAAGTAAAATATTTGTTGAAGCTTCTTGCAAATGTTGATCTTTTCCTACAGTCTTGGGAGCTTGTATGCTATTCTCAGATGGCACTGGCATAAGGGAAGTTATTGTAGAAAAAGAAAAGTGCAAAGCAATGCATTTCAATCGCTCAACACTGCCTACCTGCTGCAGTTGTGCATTAAAATGTAAATAATAAAGGTGAGAACTACTCAGAGTAATGTGATCTTCTCTGTAAAACCTAAGCATCCTTCTCAGAATAATATCTGCAGCTTAAATCTACATTAGAACCCACCTCCTTGTATGTGCCTTTGAGCGTGAGGAACATATAGCCCATGTAGCCAGGGATCAGAATCATGGAGGAAAGGGCCATGCACCAGCCGACCCCCTGACCCCAGCCTGGGAACACATAATCGCCCATGGTGAGCGGGACCATCTGCACTGCACTGAACAAAAACACTCCCTGGACAAGACAGAGACAAGAGAAGGCATCTCAGCACCTTTCTCATCACACAATTTGAATGCATTTGAAAGTAGCTATTTTACCATAAAATTAATATTTTCTACACATTGATCTTGTTGGAACAATATTTTTTCTTCCTAGTGTCTATGTGTCAGCACAGGAAACAACTTACAGCCACAATGAGGGGAGTAAAAACCACCCAACAGGCCTTCCACCACAAACATGGTCTGTAACCAATCATCTCCTCAATGTTGTCATAGAATTTGTTCACACCTGCAATAAAAAAGATAAAAATTATAGTTTTTTTCTTTCCTTTTCCTTTGCAATTGTTTTAAGACTATTGTCCATCGCTTTTATTTCAAAACTTGCCATTTTCTTAGACTCGAATTGGTTTTAGATGCTAAAAAGTCATACATATGTATATTATTGCACTGAAAACAGCGTTGCTCACCATAGAACCATGAAATTGAGATGCACTCAAAGAAAACAAGGAAAAGCAGAGACATTCCACTTGCTGAGTAGTAGTCGAATAGCTTAAACACATACAGTCCACCCTGCAAAAAATAAATGCAAAAATAACACAAGACAGGATTATAAAATGACGGAAGGAGAGAAGGGAGAACAACAAATAAGCAGTTCTCTTTGTTTTCAGGATAGTCTTGAAAGGTCATGTGGAATAATACAATATTAACTGTGATCACAAAAAGATGTGACTGTATAAAGGTAGAGAAATCTTATATATACGCCAAGTTTCATTGAAAAACAAAATCATGCAACAAATCAACATTTTTTGCTCATTCTTGTTTTATTTTAAAAGACCTTTTTTAAAATGTTGAATTACTGCATTTTATTCAGGACTCCGAAGAGCAAAAGGTGTGTACTGTTTTGAGTGGAACATAAATCAGTTAGCATGTTAGAACTTGGTGCAAATGTGGTTTAATTGACAAGTTAAAAAAGAGACCAGGTTATCAAAAAATATATAAAATATTGATAATAATAATTAGGCTATGAATATCTGACAATGTAGGCAGTAGGTGCTGAGACAATTTACTACATTTGATGATTTGATGTTTTTTTTTACTATAAATAAAGATCATTTGCAGTTAGAATAAAAATAAAAAGTAACCCAAACCAAAGCTGATGTGAAGTAAACTTCTGCCACTCAGTCATATTCGCTTCATGTTTCAGACAGAAAGAACCAATCATTTACTTGGTGCATTGTCATGTTTACCTGTGTGATGTTGGACAAGCCAATTATGTAAGAAACAAGGCAGACGATAGCGATGAAGATCTCTCGACGCTTTCTGAGAACCCGAGGAAATTCGTCAACCAGTGCAGTGATGAAGCCTTCCACAGTGCAGAACTGTGGAGTTTGCAGAGCCATTTCAAAACTGTTACTACTTACTCTGCCGTCACAATCAAACTAATGTAAATGTTTAGTACAAGAGTGAAAATGTTATACAAAGGCACAGTAAGTTACAGGTATTATTTAGACAGTATTGTTTCTAATCCGAAACAATAACATCTTGGATTAAGACAATAAATCTTTGCTATTTGCTGATAAGAAAAGTGATGGAAAGTACTGCAAAGATCCAAAGGTCAGGGCATTTTTATTGGATTATTTTCACCTGGCTGTCGATTCCCAGCATCAGCAGCATGGAGAAAAACAGAATTGCCCACAGAGGAGAGATAGGCAGCTGGGTGACGGCCTCAGGGTATGCCAGAAATGCAAGGCCTGGTCCTGAATGAAGACAAATTACACTCCTCAGATGCAGCACAGAAGTAATAATGTGGGTTGTTTCGTTAACACACACACACACACACACACACACACACACACACACACACACACACACAAACACAGAGACCAGCAGTCCTGCACAGCAGGAGGGGAAAGAAAGGCAGTGGGGCAGCTTCAGCCTGAACCCACACATGTCAACTTGTACAGATTGTCTGTAAGTTATAAAGATTTGACATCATTCTGCAGGTATACAGACGTATAGATTAATCTCACGGATTTTTTCAAGTCTTATAGATATTTTAAAAACCTCATTTTCAAATTTATCTAACATGTCAGAGCCTATAGGATGATTTAAAAAAACAATAAATAACATCAAACAGCCATCTTCCAACCTGTTCTGCTGCTAGAAATAATATGGACTTTTTGCAAAATTTATGGATTTTTAGGGCTCTTTATACAGGTAAACGTCCAAAGAGGTTGAAATGTATGCGAACCGGACCGAACTTCAGTCAAACAAGACCCAACACTTTTATTCCTGATTTAAACTAGTGATCTTGTGAGCAGCTGCAGCTGTGTGCTTTTATTATTTTCTGTCAGGCTGTCGGAGCGCTCTCCTCCTCTGTCCGAGGCTGGTGTGGGGTGAAAATCCTCCACCTCAGACATTCAGAGATGTAACT